CCCTCCAGTCAGCCCCCCAGTCTTTAGCCGGAATTTGATCAACTTTGTGAAATATCCGCGGCTCTGGTTCGGGATGTTCGTGTGGTTCAAGAATATTTTCCTCGAGTAATGGCTCGGTTTCTAACATCGTTTCTGGAATCATTTCTTCAGCTAAGACAACGGGTTCCTTGTTAGATGTATTTGATCCTTTTGACTTCCTGCGTTTGTTGGGTGGCGGTTCGATCTCTGGTTCGCCACGGTCGCGTGCCGCTGCTCGAGACCTTGTAACGACGAGGGTTTCCTTGCTGTCTTGAATGCTTCGCTCCGAGATGCACTCTACTGGAATAACTCTCTTTAACTCAGGATCTGATGTTGACGCCAAAGCGGCAAGTGCATCTGCAGTTGTATTCTCTCCCCGAGGTATGCGGATTAACTCGAATTTCGAGAAATTTTTAGATAGATCCTTCACCACTTCGAGGTAAGCTTCCATTCTTGAATCTTTGGCTTCATAGTCTCCATTAAATTGGTTAACTACTAATTGCGAATCGCAATAAGCCAATATTTCCTTAGCTCCAACTCCTTGTGCTAGTCGAAGTCCGGCAATAAGGGCTTCGTATTCTGCCTCGTTGTTGGAGGCATTGAATAACAATCGGAATGATTGTTCTAGAATTTCTGATGTCGGAGATTCCAACCTAATTCCCACTCCGGATCCATGCTTTGTTGAAGACCCATCTACGTGTAATTTCCAAGTTTGGTTCTCCGGTTGATCTATCGTTCCAGGTATTGGTAGTTCGGTCAGGAAGTCTGCTAAGACCTGAGCCTTCATACCGATCCGGCTTTTAAACTCTATGTCGTACTCGCTTAATTCCACCGCCCATTTCGCCAAACGTCCGGATTGACTTGGACTATGAAGTATTGTTCTGAGTGGTTGGTTAGTTAATACCTCAACCGGATGGGACTGAAAATATGGACGCAGCTTCCGAGCCGAAGTTACCACCGCGAGTGCAAGTTTTTCCATCATTGTGTATCTGGTTTCCAGATCCGTCATTGACTTGCTCACGTAGTAAATTGGTTTCTGCTCCCCACGGTCTTCCCGAACCAAGACTCCACTAACCGCGTGGTTTGAAACTGAAACGTACAAGTAGAGTTTTTCATCCACTTCCGGTTTGGACAGTATAGGTGGAGTGGTTAAGTATGCCTTAAGCTGCCCAAAAGCTTCTTCACACTTCTCATCCCAAAGGAATCCTTTGTTCCCTTTTAGAATTTGGTAGAAAGGCAACGACTTATCTGTTGACCTCGAGATAAAACGATTCAAGGCCGCAATCCGCCCAGTCAACCGTTGTACTTCTTTGAAGTTTTTCGGAGATGGCATGTTTAGAAAGGCGTTAATTTGATTTGGATTGGCTTCAATCCCTCTTTCTGTCACGATATAACCAAGGAATTCCCCGGATGGGACTCCAAATGTGCACTTCGCCGGGTTCAGCTTCATTTGATATTTATTGAGAATATCAAAACATTCCTCCAAATGCTTAACATGTTCTCCTTTCTTCAACGATTTAACCAACATATCATCTATGTAGACTTCCATAGTCTTCCCGAGGTGATTGTGAAACATTTTGTTCACCAACCGTTGGTAAGTCGCTCCTGCATTTTTCAAACCAAAAGGCATTACCTTGTAACAGTAGATACCTCTATCTGTGATAAATGACGTCTTTTCTTGATCGTCGGGGTTCATCATTATCTGATTATAACCCGAGAAGGCGTCCATGAATGTTAACAGCTCATTTCCAGCGGTGGACTCTACAAGTCGATCTATATGCGGGAGCGGGAAACTATCTTTGGGACATGCTTTATTTAGGTCTGTAAAGTCGATGCAAACCCTATCTTTTCCATTCTTTTTCTTGACAACGACAGTGTTTGCTACCCACTCCGGATATTGCACTTCTCTTATGGACCCTATCTTCAAGAGTTTATCCACTTCGTCGTTTACTATTTTTGCCCGCTCCACTCCAAGCTTTCTTCTTTTTTGTTTCACCGGTTTGAAGCTTGGATCTACGTTTAGTTCATGACAAATTATACTCGGATTTATGCCCGGCATGTCCGCTGCTGACCATGCAAATGATGCTTTGTTTTTCCTTAAGAGTTCGATCAAAGCTTCTTTTATTTGGCCAGTCAAAGTTGCTCCAATTCTAATTTTCCGGTCCGGCTTGTCTTCTTCCAGTACCACTTCGACTACTACATCCTCTTTCTTCTGCCCACTAGGAAATTTTGTTTTTAGTCCTTCTTTTGCGGGCTTCGTTAATTGCTATTGAATCTTCATACGGTGGCTAGCTAAGTAACAAGTCCGTGAAGCTTCTTGATCTCCCCGAATTGTTTCCACCCCATTTGATGTTGGAAATTTGATACATTGATGATATGTAGAGGGGACTGCTCTCATCCGATAAATCCAGGGAGTCCCGAGGATGATGTTGTAAACAGCGGGCTTATCGAAGACAACGAAGTCCACGATCTTCGATACCTTCTTGGCAAGGACCGGTAGCTTGACTGTTCCGAGAGACATGGCTGACTCGCTTGTGAATGCAACTAACGGAGATGGGGGTCCTACTATGTCTCCTCGGCTGATTCCCATTTTTTCTAGAGTACTTAAAAAGATCAAGTCGACCGAACTGCCTGTATCTATAAGGATCCTTGATACTTCGAAGTTTGCGACGTCAAGAGTAATGACTAGAGCATCGTCATGCGGTCTTTCGAGATGCCGCGTTTCTTCTTCGTTAAATGATATTGAAGCACCTTGAAAATCAATTTCTTCACTCAAGCTTGCTTTGAGTAAGACATTTCGTCTATGTTTTTTGATGGAACTTATTGAATCTCCGCAAAATCTGGAACCTCCTAGAATCACATTGATCCTCCCCTTCGAACTTCTTGGTTCTTCCTCGTTGGATAACCTTGGTCTTTTGGAATCTTGATCTTTGGAATTTTCCTTTGCTTCGTGGTATTCCTTCACAAAATCTTTTATATCGAATTTAGAAAGATCACCACTAGCCCAAAGCTCTGCGAGGTGCTTTTTAAGAACGCTGCAATCCTTGGTTAAATGTCCGGTTACTTTATGAATGTCGCAATATAGACTTTCATCACGGACCCAAGTGTTTGATCTTCCTTTCCCTTGGAATTGCTTCCCGACGGAATTGTTGAAGGGTTGCGACCCAAACTTCCTTGGTCCTTTGCTCTCTCTAGGCTCGAACTTCTTGGTAGGGACGGTGACTGCCGGCTTTTCTTGTTTATTCCGTTTGGCAAAACTTTCTTTTTCGTCTTCTACCTCCATCCAATTGTTTGCACGGAAGAGTGCATCCTGAATTGTATCTGGTTTATGAAGTATTAAGTCTTCTTTAAACCTTGAATCATGTCGCAATCCTTTTCGTAGGGCAGATAAAGCTGATTGCTGTGAGATTCTTGGGAGTTTTGATAGCACCCCTTTGAATTTGGTGATGAAAACTCGAAGTGACTCATTAGATCCTTGCGTTAAGTTCCAAAGATCGGCATCCGAAACGCTTTTATCCATAAGGATAGAGTATTGCTTTAAGAACACGGCTGACAGTTCGTCGAAATTGCTGATCGAACCCGGCTCTAATTGGGTGAACCACATTAGAGCTTGGCCACATAGATTCTCCGAAAACAGCTTGCAATAGCCTGCGTCCTCATCAGCTTCATCCAACTCGACTCTTCCTGCAGCGATCAGAAAGGCTGCAAGATAGCTTTTTGGATCCTCCAATCCGCTGTAAGGGTCCAACTTGAGCTTCCGAGAATCTTTGATCCTCAAACTTGCAATTCGTGGGATAAAAGGGGTTCGCCTTGCTTCTTCAATGACTCGATTGATGTCTGGCTCCGAACTTGTAGCCTGATGAAATTTTGATTTCATTTCTTTTAATTCCTGGCTAACCTTCCTCATGGTCTCGAACTGGTCGAGGTTCTCCTGCTCGTACTGAGCTGCAAGTTGTTCTTCATCCCCGAGCTGCATCTCTTCTTCCGACGTCTGAGCTACATTATTAGTAGCACCGGGAGTTGTTTGTCCGCTGGTTTCATTTCGTGCAGCGGAACTTGGCGAGTTGAATATCCCTCTTCGGGTTCCCACTGGGTTTCCTGCACTTAAAGAGCGAACACGAGTTTGTATATTATTGACGTTTTGACTAAGAGATACCTGGGATGTTTCCAACGTATCGACGGCCTTCTCCACATCCGAAAATTTTTGTGATATGTCCGACATGGTTTGCTGCATAGCTTTGAGGGTTTCGGCCAATGATGTCTCAACGGCGTCTCCTCCGGACATTGTCGCTTATCTCGGGAATGTAGAAAAGAAGAAATCTGACCACTCAAGAATCCTGATATTCCCCACAGGCGGCGCCAAAATGTGGATGTCGGATTCACACACTCAAGTATTTTGTTAAGTGGGAAAGATTATTCTTGAGGGACAAAACTGAATACGTAAGAACTTGTGAATTGATACGAGAATTGCTATCTTATTTCTCTCTTCGGAGGAAGATCCCCTTTACATGGCCATTGGCCTCTATATTTATACATAGATAAGCGACATTAAAATGGATAATTAAGTACAATTATTCCTTCTTAAATGTGTCCGTTTTGATTCTTCGACTTTAATGCTCAACGTTTGAATTTGAGTTGACTCTGATTTTCATGGGCCTCGCCTTTTTGGCCCAAGTGTCCTTGAACCGACCTACCCGCGTCTTCTACACCGAACTCACATCTCAGTGCAGTCACTTCGGACTCTCGAAGTGGTGACAACCACTTCGACCGTCCCCTCGGTTCATGGGCCCAATGGGCTTCATCTTTTATGGGCCACCCGCTTGACTACGTGGCAATCTTTGGTTGGTCTCGTACTTCTGGTGCGGGATCCGACACCAACACTTGTGGTAACTAAACCATTGCATATCTGTCTCCTTGAGCTTTACAAAAATAGCAAACGTTTTAACAATACTATACCTTGTTGATATCTTGCAAATCTTTACATTGTCGTTGGCACTAAAGAAAAACCTTTCTGGTTGAAGAGGTTTGGAATCCTCTTTCATATCCATCTCTATTTCCTGCAATACAAACAATGAAAATTTTAGTGCCACAACATAGTTGTACGTACTGGGACTCTATAGTACTTAACAAAATCAAACATGTTTATTACTTACCTCATGGTCAGACACATCATTCAACGAAGATGGTTCGTCCCCTTGATCTTCCACGATATCAATTACTAGAGTTGCTATCTTTGAATGCTTTGGATCTGATTGCTTTTGTCTTTTGGCACTTCTAAGAGATATAGGTGGGCCTTCTCTCTATAATAGCCATTGTAATTAGTACCTACAACAACAAATACAAATTCAATATCAAACCTTCAAAAACAATCTTATAATCTTTTTAACACTCTTCACAAACCATCTCTAAGGAACAAATTCAAATCCGAATTTAAATCATAAAAACTAGTCACATTAGTTATCCTTACCAGAGGATATTAACACTACAAGTAAACATGTCTATTAAAGACTACTATTAACGACAGCTTCTAGATGTTGTTAAAAAGCGTTGTATTAACGACCTAGGAGTGACATATTATAACTTCTGCCGTTAATAAGTCGCTATTTTTTTTTCTCGGCAAAAAAGGAATTCACAAAAGTCCACCTCAGAGTCTATCTCTCAGCAAGCCGGGGTTCCCCCTGGTAACTCGAGCAGAAGAAACCCAAAAAAACATTAATATGTCGGGGTTCTTTTGGAATGTGCGAGGCTTTAATAAATCTAAGAAACATTCCATTGTTGGTGATTGGATTCAAGAAAATTCTTTGCAGTTCGGGTGTATTTTGGAAACAAGAGTTCAGGAAACAAAGGCGTCGCGAATCATCTCGTCAGTGTTTCGTGACTGGTCATCAATGACTAATTATGAATTTAATCGTTTGGGACGAATATGGGTAGTTTGGAGGAACAATGTTAGAGTGACACCAGTCTTTAAGAGTGGCCAACTTATAACATGTTCGATTCTGGTTGATGGAGTAGCAGAGGAGTTTTTCATCTCCTTTCTTTATGCATCAAATCTTGCTGAAGAGAGAAAGGAGTTGTGGGAGGACATCAAGCACCACCATGATTCACCTATGATCCATGATAAACCTTGGTTAATCTTAGGTGATTTTAATGAAATTCTAGATGGAGAAGAACACTCAAACTATGAAAACTCTCTGCTGGTTCCCTGGGGCATGCGAGATTTTCAAGAAACAGTTCGCCATTGTTCACTTGCCGATTTGAGTTCTCATGGCCCTCTGTTCACTTGGTGTAACAAACGTGACGAGGGATTAATATGTAAAAAGTTAGATCGGGTGCTTGCAAATGAAGCGTGGAACAGATCTTACCCTGAATCTTATAGCATTTTTGAATCTGGTGGTTGCTCCGATCATCTTCGGTGCCGGTTTAAAACAGGAGTTGCAGTACCAAGACCGAGAGGCCCATTTAAATTTTCAAATGTGCTCACATCCTTGCCAGATGTTCTGCCCACGGTTCAGGAATATTGGGACAGCACATGTGCTCTTTATCACTCCACGTCTGCAATGTTCAGGTTCGCAAAAAAGCTCAAAGGTCTTAAGCCGCTACTAAGGTCTTTGAGTCGCAGGAACTTAAGTTCAATCTCGAGCCGTGTAGAGGAAGCCTACAAGACGCTCTGCGAGAAGCAAATAGCAAGCCTGGATAGTCCAACACCAGCCTTAATGGAGGAGGAGAATGAAGCTTATAAGATTTGGGATCATGTAGCTGAACTTGAAGAGGGGTTCTTAAAGCAAAAATCGAAGTTGCATTGGCTAAATGTTGGGGATAAAAATAATAAATACTTCTATAATGCTGTAAAATCAAGAATTGCTCACAATGCAATCAGGGAGATAAAGTGCCAAGATGGTTCAATTGTTACATCACAGGAGGATGTTAAAACTGAAGCAGTCAGATTTTTTGAGGAGTTTCTATCACATCAGCCAGGTGAATTAGCGGGCTCAGATATTGATCAGATCCAACTCTTGCTAGACTACCAGTGTTCAGCCATAGACCAGGCAGGGCTTGAGTGTGAAGTAACAGAGGTAGAGATCCGAGAGGTGCTTTTCAAGATGCCGGTGAACAAAGCTCCGGATCCCGACGGTTATACAGTTGAGTTTTTTAAGCATGCTTGGCCGATCCTGGGAAAAGATTTTGTTATTGCCATTCAATCTTTTTTCCTCAAGGGGTTTCTACCTAAAGGAGTCAACACTACAATTCTGGCCCTCATCCCAAAGAAAAATGAAGCGCAAGAAATGAAAGATTATCGCCCTATTTCATGCCGTAACGTCATGTATAAGGTAATATCTAAACTTCTTGCAAATAGGCTGAAGAAAATCCTCCCCTCGTCTATAGCTCCAAATCAATCAGCGTTCATTAATGACATGCTAATGATGGAGAATCTACTTCTTGCTTTAGAACTGGTAAAAGATTATCACTGCAAATCAATTTCTGGTCGCTGCGCACTAAAGATTGATATATCTAAAGCCTTCGATTCGGTTCAATGGCCTTTTTTAATCAATATTCTTAAGGCCATTAATCTTCCGGATAAATTCATTCATTGGATTCAGCTTTGTATAGAGACTGCATCTTTCTCAGTCCAGGTTAATGGGGAACTCGCTGGTTTTTTTCGTAGTGCGAGGGGACTGCGACAAGGCTGCTCTCTATCACCCTATCTGTTTGTTATCACCATGAATGTTCTGTCTCGAATGCTGGATAAGGCGGCTGCAGACCGACAAATAGGCTACCATCCCCGTTGTAAGAATATGAGTCTCACCCATTTGTGTTTTGCTGATGATATACTAGTTTTCTCAGATGGAAGTTCCCGTTCAATAGAAAATATTTTGAGAGTTTTCAAGGAGTTTGAAGCGGTCTCTGGTCTCAAAATAAGTCTGGAAAAATCAACGCTCTTTATGGCGGGTCACTCACCAGATCATCAAGCAGCTATCCTTCAGCAATTCCCATTTGAAGCAGGTTCACTGCCGGTTCGATACCTTGGTCTTCCCTTACTAACCAGGAGCATGTCGAGAGCTGACTATCTACCACTACTCGAAAAACTAAGATCTCGGATCACATCGTGGACATGTCGTTTCTTGTCTTTTGCAGGCCGCCTTCAATTGATAAAATCAGTTCTATCAAGTATCACCAACTTCTGGCTTTCCGCTTTTCGCTTGCCAATGAAGTGCATTAGTGAAGTAGAAAGTCTATTCTCTGCTTTTCTATGGTCGGGGCCTGATCTAAAAACTAAAAAAGCCAAGATTGCTTGGACAGAACTTTGCAAACCAAAGGATGAGGGCGGGCTGGGTTTGAGGTTGTTATCAGAAACTAATACGGTGTGCATTCTAAAACTTATTTGGCGGTTGGTATCTGCGGATGATTCATTATGGGTTAAATGGATTCGTAAAAACTTGCTTCGTAACAAGTCTTTTTGGTCGGTACGTACGCATAGTTGCTCGGGTTCATGGATGTGGCGTAAAGTTTTAAAGTATAGGGATAAGGCAAAATCTTTACAAAAAATGGAGGTGAGGTCTGGTCATAATACCTCATTTTGGTATGACTCATGGTGTTCACTTGGGAGATTATTTGATTCTCTAGGCCAACGTGGAAGTATTGACATGGGGATTACATCTCATTGCTCTGTTTCCGATGCTCTCACAACTCACCGCCGTAGACGGCACCGAGTAGAGATTTTGAATAAGATTGAAGATGAACTTGAATCGCTGCGACTTCGCACGGATGTAATGGGTAATGAAATTCCCCTTTGGAGGTGATATGTCTATAATTTGCATGATTTAAGCATTCATTCTTCATCACTTTGTCATTGTTTCAATCACATTTCATCTCATTAGTAGTCGTTTTAGTGTGTTTTGCATACTTAGGACGTTTTTGCATTAGGATTGCATGTGCATCGCATATTTGGTTGTTTTCAGGTACTTTGGATGCTTTTGGAGTTCAAACAGAGGAGAAACAGAACAGAAATTCAGAACGCTCAATCACTCCCTCAGCCAAAGCACTCGATCGCAACCTCGGAGCCCTGACAGAGCAAAGCACTCGATCGCAACCCCAGAAACTGTCATGAAGGGCAAAACCACTCGATCACAACCCCGGAGCAATTTCAGAAGAAACCACTCGATCGCAAGATCGAGCAGAAGCTGTCATGAAGGACATATCACTCGATCGCAAGCCCTGAGGGATCACCCACTCTACACCACTCGATCACCACCTCACGTCATCTACTCGATCGCACCACTCGATCGCAAGGTCGCTGGACCATTCCATCTCGTCTTCACTACAGACCACTCGATCGCAAGACGGAGTTCCCGAAGCCCAGTTTGATCAGTTTCACTCGATCACAGGGAAGCCCATTTCAGCCCATCAGATGTTTGATCGCAAAGTCTCGTTTTGAAGACCACTATCCCGAACTTTCTTTATTTAACTTTTTTTCGCTTATATAAGCAGCCTCTAAGGGTTTTCCCTAGGGCATCCAGTCTTTATTTTCAGTTTTTACCTAGACTCGTTTTGGTAGCCGCAGTGTGTTCTTCCTGCGACTTTGTATTTGCTTTCGAGTATTTTATAATTCAGTTTTTGTTTCAGTCTTTATCATTTCCTGTTATCATGTTTTCAATCGTTTCATTACAATTGTTTTTGATTATGTCTGAGTAGTGAATTGTATTTCTGAGGATGGGATAGAGTAGTCGTGGTTGTCTTAGTCGATTTAGATGGTTGAGTTTAGATTGTTTGAATCCCTTCTGGATTAGTTGCGCTTATTGCTTGTTCCTTTCTGATCAACTGGAAAATGAATCCAGACATTCCCGCACCCAAAAGGTGTTTGATGGAATGTCTGATCCACTAATTCCAGAGATACTCGTCTCTATCCCAAGGTATTGGCCGTTTAGAGCGGGTATTGGCTTTAACAAGTTGATTCGATATTGCCTGCTTAGTTAGAGATCGCTAATGGTGATTAGGTCTGTGTCTAGCTCTGCTTGAGAATTTCTATCACGGTGGTGAATTGATTTGCTTCTGAACTTGTTGTCAAGGGATAGCTTCTGTGAAGTTTTGTCAACCGTCTAAATAGATTAAGGAGACCACGCTATTCGATTACCCTGTCCTTAGAAATCTCTTATCCATTTGATTGCCTGTTATCTTACTTGCTTTGTTATTCAACTGCCTGCTATTGCTAGTTTGCATTTCAGTTTCATTTCATTTCTGTTATTTCGCATTAGGATTGTTAGAAAACAACAACTCTCTGCTTGGCTTGACTTAGCAAATTCTG